GCTAGTTTTTCTACGGCATAAGTGCTTTTGAAGTTGTGGACCTAAATATTTTAATAAGCGCTTTAGAAATTCTGGAGCTAATTTTTGGATTAGCGCTGCCCACCACTGGTCAAAACTCTGCGGACACATTTAAGCTGCATATTGTTTGTCGGTTTAAAGGGTTTTGATCTTTTGAAAKGAGGTTCTGTAGGACAGTTATAAACTATTAATATCTTACTTGTTGTGGATGGCTCTTTGAACAACCTCAGTTAGCAGAAATAGTTTAGTTCTGACTGGACTGATGAGCTAGTTTGGTATTTACATTTAGAAGTTGTTGTGTTGTACATCATGATTAAAGAGGTTTTTGACGCTTCTAAAATAAGTTGTCTTTAGAGCAAGAACCCAAAGTAATTCTTTCAGACTTGTAGCAGAACCGCGAACAGTAATCAGGTCAACTGTTCCACACATTCTTAMTAAATTAGAACCTGTGAACTTTAAAAATGCCTCAGCATCCATGGCGTTTGACTTGCGCCCAGTTCTTTTTATCATATGACGAACATTTTGCCGATAGAAGAACATTTTCCCAGAACAGAATAAGGTTTTCAGGAAGAGACAAATTCACCAGAGAAAACAAAACAAAAAGAAAACAAACAAACCAAAAAAAAGGCCAAAGAAGTTTTGGAACATCTCTTCTTTTTAAATCGATGAGAAAAAYGCTTGATTTGTGTCAGAATAATGGGAAAAGAAGAAAAAAATGCATGGAGCAAGTTGGGAACCTCTCCTGATCTGAATCAGCGTCATCTGTTGAACACGTGTGCTGTTCGCTGCGTTGGCACGCATGGTTTCCAGTGGCACGGGGTCGTGAAGATTAATGTCGACTGACCCACAACACACTGTAAAACTATGCAGAAATTTTAAAAAAACTTATTCTGTAAATGCTTGAATCAATCAACAGGTTGAGCTGCACTTCACATGATGGATGAATAAATAAAAAAGCCAAAAACTAAAAAACAACAACAAATGAAAACATCTAAAGTTTGGCAAAACATCACAAAGGAGGAAGTGCATTCTTCTGTGATGTCCGTCAGTCCCACGCTTGCAGACATCCCTACAAATGGATTCTGATCCGAAGTTTTAAAACCTTTTATTTATGGTTGTATTAATTATAAACCTTTACCACAAATTAAATGGAAATGCCCTTCGAAAGCCATTAAAGCTAAGAGGCTGTGTTGTTCATGAATACACGTAGAACTCAGACACGCGCTTAAATATTAAAAACATCAACAAGTGCATTAGTGTAGAAGTGTTTCCAGACATGTGTTTGAATCTGAAGGGATTCTAAAAAGATTTGTTGCAGTTTTTGGCCAAAGATTTTCTATGAAAGATTTGATTTGACCACATCAACACAGAATGTCCTGATGCATCTCAGTAATCCAGGTAAAAAATCAAAAAGAAAAAAATTGTATAGGTCTTCTGGACGGGTT